GCCCTTTTGGAAAAACAAGGCCAGGCCAAATTAGTTTTACACCAAATGGCTTCCTCATATAATCTAATATATCCTATTGCTTGTCATTTATTTATCACTACCTTGATAATAATGGCTAGATATGCCACTAGGGCTATTTTTATATATCTTCTGGGCTATTTTTCCTTACCCCTAAAAGACCTTGAACTGAACCCTCCTGACTTTTGGTCATATCATCCATTTTCTGGAATGATCTTCTACATTTTTGCCCACTGAAGATCAATCCATTTTTCAAAGAATAACTCCAATATCATCTCCTCTATGACCCCGTTCAATGAACCTCCAGATTTAAAAGATATCTGCCTCTAAACTACCATGGTACTGTGCCTTGCTTTTTATTCATTCATTTATTCACTCAAATATTTACCAAGTGTTTTGTTTTGTGTCAGGAAGCACTGTGCTTGGTTCTGGGAATACAAGAAGAACAAGACACAAAAGGGGAGGAAGACTATCCTCTACCCACTCTGGGTCCTTTCTGGCTGGGCTACAAATTAAATTGACATGAGACTGAACAGCAGGAGAAAATAGAACAAAGCTTTATAACGTGTATACATGGGAGAGACCAGGGAAACCGAGTTTCTTGACAAATGGGGAAGTTTTCACCTTAACTATCATATTAAGGCAGACAAAGGAGGACGTTGAGGGTAGGGGAATCAGCTGTGGGAGATGACCAGAAAGCACAGTAATCAAGAGTATGCAGATCTAAGTCCTCGCTTTCTGCACTGATAAGACTTTCTAGAGATAAGGTCATCCCCCCTTCTTCCTGGTACAGAGAGGGAGATACCTTTACAAATGATGATTTCCCTTATAAATGTAAATGTTTGGTCTTAGCAAGGATCCTCCCAGTCTATTGATAAAATGACGAAGGTAAAAAGACATATTTTGAGGGGGCCAAGTTTGATCTCCCACAACACCTTCAAATAGCTCACAGTCTACTATGGAAAAGACATGTCCATAGCTATAGTGAAAGCCCTAAATGGCACACACAAGTAAAGTACTAAAACATGTTCAAAAGGGAACAATTAATTTGCGTGGAGGAATCAGTACTGTGGGGTCCTGTTCTAAAATGTTTTTGTAACATGGACTATAAGAAACACATGACAATCTTTTTAAATGGAAGAAAGCATGTATGTTTTAAGATAATGACTAGGAGATATATCTTAAATTAAGACAAAAGGTGAGGGGAAATTATCCTTAGAGATGAGTTTCAAATATATATATATAGTCAGACCTACTAGATAACACATTTTTTGGATCCTGCAGGAAAAACAAAGCCATATCCACTGAGTAAATTATAAATAGAGCTGCCAAAAATAAAAGTAATTATGGCACAAAGCATTTTTATTTCTCATTTGTCTGGTCTGACCACCTATGGGGTGTTAGAGCTGAAGCTTTAAATGCCAGAATAGAATTATTTTCTGGAAAGGACAAATTAAAGTCAGATATTTAAAATGGACCTCTCAGAAATGTGACAGCACAGAACACACACCTCTTAGAAATGGTTATAACCTTTCTTGAAATAAATGTCTATTACCTAATGAAATAATCAGAAATGTGCTAAAAAATTTGTACGTGTATACCTTGATTCATTACAGAAAAAATACCCTACAAATAACCAAAATACTCCAAAACATGTTATATAAACTATTGTGTGGTGGTATACTATTCCATTATGTATTTTATGGCCTAGTGGTTCAGTGAGCAGGCTAGACACAGACTATTTGGATTTGAATTCCAGCTCCACCACTTACAAGTCGTATGAATTTGGGTAAGTGACTTAACTTCTCTGTGCCTCGGTTTCTTCATCTTTAAAACGGAGTTAACATTATCTGCCCTATAGAATTGTCATGAGGTTTAAATACATGAAAGTGGTGACTGGCACACAGTAAATATTTAATAATTATTAGCTATTATTAAAATATTAAAATACTATGCAATCATTAAAAATAAAAATATTGTAGACCAAAGAAATATCTTAGGACACGGTATATTATTTGAAAAACATTGTTAGGTTAAGAAAAGAGAAGACAAAATATCATGCAGAGTGAAAAATTCCTAAATTAGAAGTGTATATATGAATACAAAATAGTGAAGTGCTGGAAGGATGTGTATAAAGTATTATCAGTAGTTATCTCTGTGCAGTGAGATTGTGGGTATTTTTTTTCTTATTTATTCAGCCCTATATTTTCAAAGTTTTCTCTAATTAAGATATAGTATATTAATAATAAGAAAACAGGAATAAATTGTTTTTCAAAACTACCTCTGGGGGCCGGCCCGGTGGCACAAGCGGTTAAGTGCGCGTGCTCTGCTGTGGCGGCCCGGGGTTCACTGGTTCGGATCCCAGGCATGCACCGACGCACCGCTTGGCAAGCCATGCTGTGGCGGCGTCCCATATAAAGTGGAGGAAGATGGGCACAGATGTTAGCCCAGGGCAGTCTTCCTCAGCAAAAAAAAAAAAAAAAAAGAGGAGGATTGGCAGATGTTAGCACAGGGCTGATCTTCCTCAGGAAAAAAAAAGTAAAAACTACCTCTGTCCCACTATAAGAAATTTTTGATGACACCCAAAGATTTTGGGGCTGGAAAACTCCTGCATCATGTAACTGAACAATTTTCATAAACCAGATACTTTATTGCTATAGAATTCTGTATCTTTGAAGCTATTTTGAACATGTGAACATTGGGCAGGACTTTGGCACACCTGACATTTTAGTGAGAAAATACCATTTAAGAAGAGTCTGCAGATCGGTTTACATAATCTCCTAAATCAGTGAATTGAAAGAAAAATAAATACAAATGTACCACGTGAAAGTTAAATGTAAGTGGATTAGGTGTGCAATGGACTTATTTAATGAACCCTGGCCATCAGCAAAACACTATTTATGGAGAAGAAATTTTTTGTTTGAACAACTTGGATTTTTTACTAAATAGGATCAAAGAACAAAGAGTCTTTTCTGGAGTCTAGTAATAAAATTTATTTTCTGTGAGTTGCCCTAATTAGCCAGAAGGGTTCAGGAATTTCTTTCTCTGGGAATTTTAAAGAAAGACTTTCCTATCCCACCCCATCCCCACCTTGAGTTGTGAGGCCACCTGTGCAAGGACTGAGCTCATCTCATCCCACTTGAACGGTACTTCTCGCTATTTTTTATTAAACTAAGCGACTGGACTGTGATGTTTGTGCCTCAAGAAATAAATTAATAACTATTGCCAGCCTCAAATAAGAATGAATGCCTGAGATATTGACAAAGCCTGCCTTTCCCTGAACGTCCTATTCAAGTCAATATGTCTTTCCCATGAAGAGGTGACAGTCATTATAATCTGCAGGGTGCTTTCAGATGAACACCCATTGAATTTGTTGGAATTAGAGACACAAGTTAGAATTTTTACAACATCCATTTTCTCTATTGCCAAGAAAATTTGTTCAGATCGATCTCCTGCATTTTAAGTATTTTAAGCAAGAACATTCCTCTTTCTCCAACAAATCAATTTACCAGACCACAAAGCTTTGGAAAAATTTAAGAAATGACAAGCAGAACACAGCTGAGAGAGGACACCACCCAAGAAAATGGGTTTAGCAGAGGCCTCAAGGATTCATAACTGTTGGATGGAGGTCTGTGTAATGCGGGTCTGGGAGATGGAGAAGAAAGACAAAGACATACTGGATGACCACAATTTGTGAAAAATCTGTCTTCTTCCCCTTCTTCTGAAAGTAATCTACAGGTGCCCAAGTAAAGTACAATTCTGGGACTGGCCCAGGGCACTTCAACTTTTAAAAGTAACTCTACTCAGCCTTTTCATTACTCTGTTTGGGAAAACAAAGCAAAAATAAAGCAAACAAAGAAAAACAAGCCGTAAGTAGGTGAAAATGAAAAAAAAAAGCTATTTTTTATGTGGCATGGCATAATTTAATGGGAAAAAAAGTCCCTGAAAATATTGTATGTCATTTGAGGATCAAATTCCAACCTGAGAACCAAAATAGTTTATCCATCCATTCTATAAGGATTATCAAAGATTTACTATGTACTGGGGATTTCTATTAACACTGGGAAGTCAGGGGTGAACAGGCAGTATGAGTCCTTGTCTTCAAATGGATAAACAAACTCTATAACTTCAAGTATGATAAGTATTATGAAGAAAACTAGGAATTTTAAATGCTTGCTACTATCTGTATTATACTGGTTTGGGAGCTGTACTAGTAGTGTCTAGTTTTCTCCCACCCCTTTAATTGGAATCCTACCTAAAATTTGGTCCAAGTGTATCCAAGAAAGCTTTCTGGAGATTGTGTTAGTTTCCTGTGGCTGCAGCAACAAATTTACCAACAACCAGCAACATTTGCTTACCACAAATTTTAGTGGCTTAAAACAACACACATTTATTATCTCACAGTTTCTGTAGGTCAGAAACCTGCATGTCCTCTGCATGGATCTCACAGTCTGAAACCAAGGCTGTTTTCCTTACTGGGGGCTCTGGAGAAGAATTCGCTTCCAAGCTCATTCAAGTTGTTGGCAAAATTCAGTTTTGCCCTTGTAGTACTAAGGGCCTAATTTCCTTGCTGGCTGTCTGCATCCCTTCTCGTTCTTTCCGCATGGCCCCTCCAGCAATGGCGAGTTGAGGCCTGCCTATGCTTAGAATCTCTGACGTCTCCTGCCACATCTCTCTGACTTTCTCTTCTGCCCTCAGCTCTGAGGAAACTCTGTGGTTAAGGGCTCCTGGGATTATACTGAGTCCACCCAGATAATCCAGGACAATCTACCTATTTTAAGGTCTGCAACCTTAATTACATTTGCAAAGTCCCCTTTGCCATCTGACATAACATACTCACAGGTTCCAAGGATTAGGGCATGAACATCTTTGGGAGGCCATTCTGCTTACCAAAGATAAATTATGAGATTTCAAACAATGGCTTTTGTTTACTTACCCCTAAAGAATCTGCAGCTAATGAGTATGGGCTGTTCTATTTCTAGGACATTCACTTGGCCAGGAGACTATATGATATGGCTGCTCAAACAAGTCCGGATGCTCACATACCTGTGTTCTTTGCCCTCATGAAACTGGAAACTGTGCATTTGCTCCAAGATATCCTGATTTTTAATGTAAGTTTGTCTCAAATAAGTCTCAAATCTCTGAAAACTCCAATGAGCAACTCTTGGGTGATGGAATGGAGGGAAATGACAGTCCTGAATGGAGTGGGACGGTTAGATTTTTTTTTTTTTTTGACAGAACGTTTCTTGCCGGCAGTTTACAATGAGATGGAAATGGATGAAATTGGACAACACCCTTGGACCATACTGGGATTTATTTGTGATTGGCCTAATTGTTGCTATGCTGATCTTCTTGCTTAGAAATCACTACCGGTAGGATCTGGATCATAGGAAAACCAGTTCACTCCAAGGTATCCTCGCTAAATAAAGAACTTCCTTGTCAAACTCAAGAGTCTGCTGCAGATTTCACACACAAGTCTGTGGTGGAAAATGGACAAAGCTTGGGACCCATCCTCTGAGAAACCATTTCAGACTTCCTACTTAGTTGAGGTGACCGCTTGGGTCAGGGGTGGGGTGCTGGAGTCTGGTCACCTTACACTTCCTGACAAACCTGTCATCTCGGTGACCTAGTATTGAATTAGAGATAAAGACTACCCATTTTCATGTTGTTATAACAACCTCTCCCTTTTCCAGAGGATAAATGGGTTTCTTGGCTCCTACAGTCATACTGAGGTAGGAAGGGGGAGCTTTGGGAGGGCAGGAACACAGATCCCTTGCAATCCGATAAGGACACAAATTACGAATAGACTTCATCTTGCGGGAATGCTCCTGTGAACCACATCATAGTGCTAATGAGCAGAAGCTCCTCGTGGCATGCTGTGCCAGAGGGACTGACTTGGACTTCTCAATGAGTGGCCTTTTATCAAAGCTCCTTTAGTAGTTGTATAGTGAACAATGCCATTTGGGGTCTGACCAGCACTGTAGTCCTCTCTTCCACCCCTCATTGGAACCCTGTTCTACCTAGGGAATCCCTTTTAGAGTACTCATAGAGGGAAATGGTACCAGTGTCCTGTCACAGAAGCTAAAGGGTCCAGTTCTGTCTTTCCTGGCAGGGAAAGCAGGGATTCGGAGCTGGGGGGCAGGAGTGAGTGAGGAGAATGCAGGAGACCCATGACTTATGCCAAGAGCCAGCTTGAATTCCATCTTGACAACTCTTTAGCTAGTCAATCTCTCCAAACCTCAGTTTCCTGATCTGCACAATGGGAAGAATAATACCTATTTGAGAGAGCTGGTATGAGGATTAAATGGGATAATGTATGTAAAGGGACTAACACAGGGCCTGTCATCTAGAATGAACTCCATAAATGCTAACTCTTAATACCTTTTAAAAACTCATGGCAAATTGTTTGGACTATGGGGACAGCTGAGATAATAACAATCTGTGGTTTTAGTGCCCTGCAGTCAGTTCTCCACCCAAAATGCTGGGTGTTTTTGTAGAAAAAAATATGCTTGCCTATTTGAAAATCCAACCTAGGGAAAGGAAAGGAGTTAATTAATAATATTGATCATAATCAGAAAGCAGAATGAAATGGTGGGGAGCAATGGATTTGGAACTAAACAATCTGAATTTGAGGTCCAGCTCTGTCCCTTAGTAGCTCTATGACTTTGGACATAATTTATCCAAACCTCAGTTTTTCCTCCACAAAATGGGATCAACTCTTACCTCACTGGAGAATTGCGAGGTTTAAATAAGCCTAACTTCAAAAGTGCTTTATTGGACATTGCACATACACATAGTAGCCACAGTCACTTATTTGGCCATGCACCAATCCAGGCCTGTCTGAGGTTCGAGTGTTTAGAATTTCCTGGACATGGTTCCTGACTTACTAGATAGTTCCAGTTCCAAAGGATCCAGCCCATTTATACAAATGTACAGGGAAGGAGCAGGCAACCAAACCTCAGGTCAAGGCCTAATAGGCTGGCCGTGCAATTACATCTCACAGGTGTCTGGAACGTCAGCATGTCAGAGACGGGGATAAGGGCAAAAAGAGGAAGATGGAAGGCAAAGCAGGTGAGTCCTGGCTCCAAGTCTGGATGGAAAATGAGCCCCTTAGTGGGAAAGCTTGTGAAAATAGCTGCAGGCAGGGAAGAAAGGGAGACTCTTTTTGTGGCTTGCTGTCTAGAGCAGAACACTGCCTGAAATATGGGAGCAAGGGCAGCATGAGCTGATAAATTTCTCATTTCAGTTAATTGTTCCAAGTAAATGTGAGCAAAGGCTTTGAAAGCATGAGCAGCGTGGGGTGCATGAATCATTCAAATCTCCACGTCAGGGCCTCTTCTCCACTGCCTCCACTGTAGCAGTTCCCAGCACCACGCTGCGTGGATAGGCGCCTGCTGGCACCTAGGCACCTTCGTGATGACTGACGAAGGGAGAAAGAGCCTCTCCCCTGTGGTTTTCTGGTTATGACAGTCCCACCCCTTCCATGGGCACACAGGGCCCCTATTCTTTTTCCTGCTTCTGATAGCTTTAAATAAAAATTGATAGCCTGTGGACTATACGGCAGCTTGTTTTTTTTTAATTTAATTCTCTTTGTAACTCCCTTTTTCCTCCGTATTTCCTTCCCTGAGTCTTTATTAAAGTGGAGTAGCTATTCAAGTCAATACGTCTTTTGAAAGTCAAATCAAGTAAATAATTTTTTTTTTCTAGAGCAGGGGTCCACAGTCATTTTATGAGGAATATGCTTTTGGAATTCTATGATTTTCACCAAAGTCTTAAAAGGTGGGTTTTAACAGGTATGGCCTGTATGGGAATCCCAGAAAACCGTAGAGAAGAGGGTGTGGTGAGGCTGAGAAGAGGAGAAAGGAACATTATGGAACATCTGCCATGTGCCAGACTTTTTTTCTAATTCTATCTCCATGATGTGGCTGGGAGGTAGAGATAATTACCTCTATTTCACACAGGAGGAAACTGAGGCTAGGAGAAGCTAGTCACTTGTTAAGAAAAGATCACATAATAATGTGATCCCATAATAATAGATAATGAAGCCAGAATTTGAGTCCAGATCTGACTCCAGAATATGTTCTTTCCTCTAAATTGCTGCTCCAGTTATCTCTTGTTGCTTAACAAACTAGTCCAAACCTTAGTGGCTTAAAACAATCATTTTATTATATCTCAGGAATTTGGGCAGGGTGTGGCTGTGTGATTCTTCTGTTCCACATGGCATCGACAGAGGTCACTCGTTGGTGTTCAGCTGGTGGACGGGCTGTTCTAGAGAGTCCAAGACAGTTATATTCACATCCTGCCACCTTGGCAGGGATGGCTGAAAGGCTGGGCTCTGCTGTGAGTGTTGATCAGAATGCCTACATGTCACATGTGACTTCTTTAACACAGCAGACAGAGTAAAGGGACTTTTTACACAGCAGCTCAGGATTCCCAGAAAGAGTGTTCACAGAGACCCAGACAGAATCCACAGGTTTCCTAAGACCTAGCCTAGAAAGTTCTAGAATATTACTTCTGCCACATTCTATTGGTCAAGCATAGTCTCCACCTCTCATGGGAGGAGTAGCAAAGAATCTGAAGCCATATTTAACCAACTACAAATACACTATTTAAAAGTCTACCAAGGGTTACATAATTTCCAGTACAGAAATTCGCAGGAGAAAAATGCAGCCCAGACATTGAGCTGCTTATTTTGGAAGACAAGGACTGGGCAGACTAGGTCTCTTTGTCTTGGCTTTCTTTGTCCTTACTCTCTTTGTCTTCCCATCTTTCAGACTGAGGAAATCTAGAGGTGTCTAATGGTAATTGGAGGGAGGAAAAGATGTCCTCTCTTTCTCAGCCAAGCACACTCATGCACACACACAGCTGAAGAATGCTCAATTCTTTCTCTGCTCTGAGCTCAAGTGACATGCGCTAAGAAGTACAGAGTCCCAAGATGATCGGGACTGTCTCCTGGAGCGTCCTAGGTGCAGGCTCCACCCTGTGTCTCAGGACTCACACCTGACATGCACTCATCAGGCAAGAGACATAACCCAGACCCTCTCTGCTCCTGCTCACCCTTATTCATTTTCCCTGCTCAAGCCCGAGTCCCTGTAAGCCCATCTCCTCTGCCTCACCTTCTGGAACTAGTCCTCTTGTTGAGACATGGCCTTCAGCATGGGTTGTTGTCAGCACCCTCTGTCCTACAGTTCTGCTGCTAGATGGGAGGAAACAGAAAACTTCACAGCCTTGGATAGGGACTGGGGAAAGCAGCCCTCATTGTGGACTGGCCTCTAGATTGGAATGTATTAACAAGTCAGACATCTCTTTTGCACTATGACGGTCATTCTTCTGCTAATGTTATCTCCTAAACCTTATTATGCAAAAAGTGTATCTGCTCCTTCCCAGCTCTAATATCAAAGTCACCCTCCTATTACTTTAGCATTGGGAGGTGCCAGGCTCCAGTAATGAAGTGTGGGGAAAACCCTTACAAACCATCCTACTATTCAGGTCAGGCTCCAAGAGTTACTTATTGGAGACTTTTGTCTAGAAAACTAATGGTTTTTAATTTAATTTTACATTATATTTTATCCTATTTTAAAATATATGATTACAAAACCCAGAAGTCCCATTTTTCCACACATCTTCACAAATACTGGCCATGAAAACTATCTTTACTTTGTTCCATGTTCAGCAACCTCAATGAGATTTACCTGAAAATTCCTCCAAGTTCTTCCAGGTTCTCCCAGGTTCTCCCTGCACTTTGTACTGTTTCCCATATCATTTAGCAAAGAGAATACACTGACCCACAGCAAATGCACCGAGAGTCTCCAAAGAGATTTACTCCTAATAGAACCAAAGAGAAAGGTAAGGGAAAGCAGAGATGGGCTGTAACAGTATTCCGTCCTCATCTTCACAATAACAGGCAATTTGGACCAGGACAATGGCTCCTAAGCAATCTGAGGTCATCGTCATGTTAAGAAAATAGGAAGACTTGTGTTCCTGCAACTGCTGTGGGGCCACTGTGAGGTCTGGCCTCAGCAAACCTGCCAACTGAATTAGATGACTGCCCCAGCGAGCGCAGAGGTGGCTCTGACTTGGCAAGCATACGGGCCACAGGATGGATCTGAGTTAGGCCAAGTAATTTACACATTATACAAAGACCTGAAACCAAGCAGAAAGGGGATCGATGCTATGGGAAGGAAAGGGCCCAGCTTCACGAAGCCCCACATAGGTTTCAAGTCTAAGTGATGTGATTGTCTCAGTTTAGGTTCCCTCAGAAGTGGCCCATGAGACAAAGATTTGAGTGTAAGTAGTTTATTTGGTAGGGATCTCAGGAAACATATTTAGGGAGTGAGGAAGTGAGATAGGGCAGGGAAGGAAGCCAGTGCACGGTGGTTATCAAGCCTCTGGAGCTCAGTCCCACTGGGGAGCTAAGCAGCCTGTGGAGAGCATGCAACTCATAGTTATTCCACCCAAGGGACAAGGGAGCTGGGTATTTATTCACAACTCCTAGC